GGCATATAGGACCTACAATAATGTACAGTATTTGAAAAATAATGTGGTTTTTTAACATTAAAGCGTCAACATATTCTGTTACACCAAATACACAAAATAATGATCTTTAAAATAGCATCATATGACCTCTTTAAGTTATATCAGTTTAATTAATAGTTGAGGTGAAGAGTTAACCTGTTTTCATTTCAGGTCATACCAGGAAACAAGTCAAATCTGGAAAAATATGACGGAGTTCATGCATTCTTCATAAAAATCTGAATACATTTCTTCTTATTATAAATGTAGTATTCATATATTATTTGAATAAAATTTCGAAAAATATGCACATTGTGTTTTGAACTGCACTTCAAGAACAACACTGTAGGAGGCGCTGCGGAGTCTGAAAATACTGACCTTCAAACTTGGCCACATTATTTTTTATTTTTTATTTTTTATTTTGTATGTTTCCCTTTATTCAGTTCCATCACACAAAAGCACAATACAAACAGGGAAACGTTGCACATCCCAAAGCATGCAAAACAGAACAACAGCAACAACAAAAAATGCAAAATTAATTAATATATAATAAAAATAACAGGATAAAAAAATTATAATAATAATACATACATTAGGGCAGTTACATAACTTTGAAAAGCTTTAACATGTCCTGTGATCACATATAGATTTTTTGTCTCCAGATACCATATCTTGGTGTCGTTCACCCATCCTGCAGCGGCGTATTGATAGGCATCTGTACTCTTGAAGGCCTTCAGGCTTTCTCCGGTGTATGGTGATGGATTATGTATAAGATATATATAAATGTCCGGAAAAGTAAGTTGGGGCAGACGCGTCGCAGATTTTAACGGACACAACACCGTTTGAGGCAATAAATAAGGATCGCAACCAATAACAGATGTTTTTTCCAAATATCGTTTCTTTTCAGTCTCATTTAGATGAGCTGTGTTTGCCATGTCGGACACAAATATGGCGGCGAGCAAAGCGGAAGTGACGTCTTTGGAACTCATGGATAAGATCTGTTTGACGGTTCCGCTTCTGTTTTCATTCACCTCGCCTTTATACGGCTCTATTTTAGTCCTGCTTCTCGATTGGTCAACTCCCACATTTGACCACGCCCACTAGGTGCATCGGAGTTTCACTTCCGTCGGTGACTCGGGGCAGCTCTGGCAACACAAATAGAAACAGGTGTGTTGATGTAAATACATCGTTAAGGAAAGACCTCTGAGTCACATCACAGTGTACTTACTTATTTCTGAAAATAATTGAATGACCTAATTACTATTGTAGATCGTTCAAACATATGAGGTTTCATTACAAAATAAACACGACAAAAGATGGATGTACTCAGAGACCTTGTATGGGCAAAAGCTCCATCTGACTGAACAATATAAGATTCAATAGAACTATTCTCTCTCTCTCTCTCTCTCTCTTAGATTTAGTGATAACCTTTAATAATTCAACAGTTTGCAATAGTCATCTGAATTAATGTTTTTCTCATGTTACGCATGAAATTAGCGAGCACAGGTAAGGTAATGACAGTAAAAGAATGCCTCATCCATTTCATATTGAGATTTTCCTGTAGTCTGTACAGTACTAATAATGGGTCTCTTTAGTGAATCACTGATCAAATTACCTGTTTATCATTCTTGAGGCTGAAGCACACACACATTTATTTAGTTATTTAAATGAGGATATAGACAACGTTTTACCTTTTTTGTCAGATTTTGCTAACTTTAATTTAGTCTCCAAAAAAAAGGGCATATGTAAGTAAATAAGGCCACACTCACATTTCTCTCTTGTCAGACAAGCAAGATCATTATTATTTTTTATAATATAATAACAATAAACTAATTGATCAAATAATATAAGACAATCCCCAAAAGGTGTGGAGGTGGCATGAGGGTCATATTCTCAGCAGAGAGCACTTGAGGAGCAGAATCATGTAGCCTAATGTTTTTTTTTTCTTTTACCCAGCTGTAAATGTGTGTGTGTGTGTGTGTGTGTGTGTACCTGTTTTTCTATTCTGGTGGGGACTTAAACCTGAATACACACAGACTCATGGGGACTCGTGTCACGGTGGGGACCTAAATTGAGGTCCCCACAGGTAAACAAGCTAATAAATCACACAGAATTAAGTTTTTGAAAATCTAAAAATGCACAAAGTTTTCTGTGAGGGGTAGGTTTAGGTGTAGGGCAATAGAAAATATGGTCTGTACAGCAGAAAAAGCATTACGCCTATGGAGAGTCCCCACAAGGATAGCAAACCAGACATGAGTGTGTGTGTGTGTGTGTGTGTGTGTTTAGCACAGGTACAGTAATGGCTGTAAAAGAATGCCTCATCATGCATACACACACACACACAGTAGTTTTTATTTTATTTTATTTTTTTGTGAGTTAGAAATAGAGCAGAATCATTTCATCTAATGTAGGCTAATAACATATTATTATTTATTTTTCTCAAATTCCTAAAACGTTTATATTCAGATTTTCACATTCAGATTTTTGAACTTGCTCTCAAATAGCACTATAAGAAAGTTCCTGGCAGAAGTGAAAACGTGTAGGCCTATATATGCTGAGTGATGTGTTGGTTCACTGGTTAAATGGATTAATGCCAAATGTGCTTCAAATGAGGAGTTGCTTTAAAGCATAGGCATATCAATATCAATTGATCAGTCAATGCTTTGTTATTAAATACCTTATATATATCTTCACAATATATTTCATTTCCTGAAAAATTACTATTGTAGAGGATGTGATGTCAATAATATCTCCAACAGTATTGCTCTGTCGCACTTTCACTTTACTGGCAGATAAATCCATCCTTTTATTTATTTCTTCATTCATTTTTGGCCTATTTTTATTATTATTATTATTATTTTATTTTTTAACAGGGTTGGGATTAAAGTTTGCATGGAAATAACTTCCTTCAATGCAGTGAAGAATTATTACAACCAATCAAAAGTGACGTAAAAGAGTAGGCTATGCAGGGAAATCATTTATTGGCAGTCTGACACAAATGTGAGACCTATAACCGACTACTAGTACACTATCGTTCTTGAACACTGCTACGCTGTTTTATTAAACGCTTTATAATATTTCTGAATTGTGCACGTCCGTTGAACCGGCACCTATTTTACTTAAATGCTGTACATTTTTCTGTCTTTGCATTCATTTTTCAAGTAAACTAATGTCATTCATCTTGCATGAAAGGCTTTGAAGCCACTTGCGCAGGGCGTAATTCTGATGAATTATTGTGGGCGTCGCGCCGCAGCGTGTCTGGAACACGAACTGGAGCCGCTGTCATTCAGATGAGCGCACAAAGGTGAGCCAGCCATATTCCCACCGCCGGACTCTGTGCTCATTTCCTCGGAGGGAGGGGAATTTTTGGCCGAACCTGGACTGGATTGACTCACCGGCTCTGGTAAGATTTGCTCCGATCGATTATCGACAGGGTCAAAGAGCACAACACAGTTAGTGCGTCTATCATTCACGCGTTTCTCTTTGTACCGACGCCGCCCATCTCAAAGAGAAATCTCTACCAACAGGTGTTGCTATGATTATCGCGGTGGGATAGCCTGTATCTTACCATACAGATGGGGGCTTTTTACAAAAAGTACAATCTTCCCATTTTTATAGGTATGACTAACGTTACCAGGTGGACAAAAAAAAAAAAGCTCTATGCAAATGTATGTTTAGATAGTGAGTGACTAGCTACGCATGGGAACTGAGAACGGTTTTCAGTTCCATTTAACAAAAATATCGAAATCGGCTCATTTCGTTCGGTTCCGGTTGCCTTCTTTTGCCGGAGCGAGTGAACCAACCTAGTTAAATACTCTTGACACCGTTTCACAACACCAATCTTCAGCGAAACACGGCATTGTAGTTCGAATCCCGAACGAATGACTCTTATGAACCAGTTGATTTAGTGAATCCAGAACACACCTACAGCCTGACAAATGTAGCGTAGGCCTAATCCGTCTCCCAAGTGAGGGATTCATATGAGTCGGTTCTTTTTTTTTTTAAGAATCAAAAACATACAGTCGGTTTTTTAGTGAATCAATACAGCGCGAGCCGTGAAATGAGTCCCGAATGAATGACTCTCATGAACCGGATATTTTTAGTGCATCAAAACACTTCACATGAATACTAACGTAATCTGAGTCACTTAATGAATTATTTGCTATGAATTTAGTCATGTCCGACTCAAATACACCAGAACTGTTGGTGTTATATTGTAGAATAGCCTATAGAGACTCATAAGATTGTAATAATTAGTTAGGACCTACTGACAGTTTGTTAACGTGAAGATGAAATATCCTAAATATTTTTACCGCATTCTTTTCTGTATTTTGATCAGTATTTGTATAATGAAAAGTCATTGTGTAAGCCTAACATTTAAAATGTAATGCAATTTATTTATTTTGTATTTGTTTTATCTGGTCTATTTACCCTGATAGCACGCATACATCTCGGAGACGTCTATTTGATGTCTGCATTTACATCTGCAAGACGTATTTTTTAGAGCGTTTGCTCATCTGCAATACGTCTATAGGACGTTTCCTTTTAGATGTCAAATAGACATCTATTAGATGTCTTTAAGATAGAATGTATGTAAAACTGACATCTTACAGATGTCTTTCAGATGTTTGTCCAAAGCAGATGCTTTCCAGATCAAGAGATCTTTAACAGACATCTTGCAGACGTCTTTCAGATGTTTGTCCAAAGCAAATGCTTTCCAGATCAAGAGATCTTTAACAGACATCTTGCAGACGTACATGTGGTATCTGGGTAATGTCAAATGTAAATAAAACATCATCATAGATAGGCTAGACAGAGGAGGGCAGCAAATGCGACAAAACAAATCTTCCTTTCTTTCTTTTTAATTGTTAGTGGGGGTGTTAAAGTTGTACCCTACCTTAGTCTGACACCAATTTGCTCTCATAAACTTGAATGCAAACATATTTAAACTACCATAAATGTCCAAAACTGTATGTTCTTCGGCGTTGGAGGCTACATATAGGCTACATAGCCACAATGAGTTTTATTAGCTAGTTTGATATTTTATGGGAATATCTCGCATGATTCAGTTACCGCTATATTTAATAAGCCTAACCGAATATTTGACTTCATTCCCTATCAAGGATCGGTCTTTGGGAAACAGAGACTGGAGCAAATATTTGTAGAATGGGGTGGGGACTCTAAATTGAAAGGCGGTGTTACCTCTTTTGGGTGAGGCTGTCACAACCCTGAGTTCCAGTTTTTAATCGTGATTCACATGGAGTGCGTCAGGTTTTATTCTCAGCGATCTTTAAACGACAGACAGACTGTTCTTGAGTCATTCTCACTAGCGCTGTTTTCTCTTTCTGCTTCAGAGGGAGGCTCCGTGGAAATAGGCTACACAATATTCTTTGACAGAAGAGAGCTACAACAGGATTCAAAATGCCTAAACCTGTAAGTATTTCCCGAGTTTTATCTTATCATTGTTAGTGTTTAGGCTCGGTATGAGTGTTTAGCATGTTTTCAACTTCTGAAATATTATGGAGGATTTCTGGTCTGATTAAAAAATAGTTTTTCAGTCATTCTTGAGACATGGGACAAAACAGGTCCAGCTTGAAATGTTAAAAACATCTTGAATGCTGTTAAAGATAAAGCTGAAATTACATTGCACAGTCCAAGGTAAAAAAGCACATTTTGTTAAAAAAGAGAAAAGTTGGGAGGTTGTATCAAAGCATAGCTCAGTAGCTTAGTACATATAAGATACATAAATGTAGTTTCATTTGTGTGAGTACAAGGTTTTATTTTTTCAAGTTTGCACCCTGTTTTGTCCCACTTCTCAAGAATGACTGTTTTGTATCGTGACTTTATGAAATGGAAAGAAAGTCTGGTTCTTATTTGCTCTATCTTCAAACCGTAGTTTCTAAATGTTGAAACTTACATTTTGTTAGCGAAATTATGTCGGTTGTCATTAAGTTACTTCTTAGAGGCACATTTGTTTGTTTTAAGGCAGAGTTTATAAGGTTTGGGTCTCGTTTATACCTGCTTTTGGCTTGTTTACCCTCAACAAAATTGTAGTATGTGTGACGTTTATGTAGTTAAAATGTATTTGTTTTAAACACAGTATTGAATGCTATCTGTGTTTGCTTATAAACGCTCTTAAAACAGCAAGTGCAGCATGTTGTCAGTTTGTTTAAGATGGTAACAGGGTTGTCAGGAAGAGTACAGAGGAATGACATTATGATGCTTTCCTGCTGAAATGCTGAATACAGAGGCTTGTTCTTGGTGCCATATGGTCCGTTTAGATGGATTTGAGTTCAAAAGAGTAATTCTTTCAAGATTTGCCAGTCATTTAGATGCTTTTAAATCAAGCAATAAAGTAAAAGTGATCAAATTAAATGATATAATTTTGTAAGTTACACATTTAGTTTTTCAGTTTCTACACTGAACCCCACTATGAAGATATTTTGCTGTCTTAATATTTCCCCTCCTGTTCCATAGCAAGTTTCAGATGTGTCTATAATCAGCACTTTCAGCAGCTGAGGGTGTTTCCTCTCAAATCTTTGTTATCGTTTGTTTTGCTGAATAATTGATGACTAGACAATACCTGTTACTCCCTTTGGTGATGTAGCACAAAAGCTCATTGTGCTGTAATCAATCCTCATGTGCTCTTGGTCTTTAGCTCAAACCAGCTCAATGAAAGACTTAACAGTACCATCCAAATAGGAACTTTAGGCAAAAGGCAGTTCTGAGCAAAGAGAAGTTCATGCAACTCAAGACATGCAACCCTTAACAGAAGTGTAATTAAGTTTCTGCCCCTACTTTTATAGTACACGTCATCATAGCACCATTTCAACTTGGGCTCCTTGTGCCTCTGCCTACTGTACATTTTTTGCAAAAATCCCCAAAATGCATACAATTTACATACAATTCACTGCAGTTGCCAGCTGAAATGAACACTAGTGGCATAAAACGCTAACACCTTTTAGTCCTTTTCACGCAAATTATGATTACGGGGTAGATTATTGATTAATAAAAACTAATTTTCTCTCAGTTGCTTTATGACCTCAGAACACTTTCGCCATAGTGCGTGATTTGTAAACTAAAGCATTTTGGCGTTTGCACCATACAACCAGCTCCATATGCATGGCTTTATGTAGTAAACTTGCTTGTTACCTCACCCGGTACAGCATTGCACTTGCAGTGTGCTCGGGTGCGAGTCCTGATAAAAAAAGCTCAAAAACTTGTAAAAGCAAGCTAAAGTGGCATGGTTGCTTACATTTATTTTGTTAACACTTTCGTTGTTCAAAAGTGTAAGTCGTACATTATTTGCGCAATAACTGTTTAGCGCCACTCACTAGACATTTCATTTCCAAACTGCCGTGATACATACAACCAAAGTTAAACATTGCCAGATTCACTTTTCAGTTTTCGGACAAGACGTGCTTTTATTGCCACTCGCTGGACATTTCACTTGGAAAAGTATATTCGAAATATCGCCAGAGGCATGCGTTTAGTTTTGTTTTCCAATTTGAATAATTAGATGGTTTTTTTGGCTGTTGTTTTGGCCCAGCTACTATATAATTCAGGAGACATTTAAAATAAAGGACTGGTTAGATTTAGCAAAGAATCTTCTTTTACAGAACTGTAAAAATCTTCAATTTAGATTTGGTCAGTAACTGACTGGGTATGTTGTCTGTAGATCAACAGTAAATGCATGTCTGTGATGTTATATTTTTCATAAGCAACCAGTTTTTAGTAGTCAGTCAGAATTGTAACCGCCTTGTAACATAGATTTTTTGGTTTGATGACGTCTGTTGCCCTATGACGCTAATCGGAACCTGAGCTTGGTGACTGTGCTCGATTTCGCCAGTATATTGCAGCCAAAAAAGTTTGTTGGTCAGCTAAAACTATTTTGAGAGCAATGCAGAGAAATGGTGAGACTCTATTAAAATGCAGGCTGATGCAGGAGGTGGACCACTGAGAGGATGTTTCTGAAAGAGACCCTTTGTTTTGCCGGGTAAATGGATACCCCTCCATCTCCCCCTCTTTGGCGAGTTGGATGCCAGTCTTTAAGCTGAACTCTTCACCACTAGATTTCAGATGTACAGTACTCAGCAGGCCTATGATTCCTTTTTATTGTCAGTGGAGGGTCTATATCAAGTTATTTATTAGTGTTGATGATTTGTAATTGTATATTTGTTTATTTATGAATTTCTGTGTGATTGTGTGTTTACTATCACAGCGCTGTTTTCAGGAAAGGTCCCAGCAGTCCTCTTTAAGCTTGGTACAGGAAGTTCTTTCCATATAACAATACTTGTGGTGTTGATTGATTATTCACAAGAACTGCTCAGTCATTCTCTATAAAGTTTTATGTTCAGTAGGGCTGGGTTAGCAAAAAAAGAAGTTATATTTGATAAATATATAGTGTACATTTATTCATTTAGCACATGCGTTAATCTAAAGCAAGAAAATAATAATACCAAAAAAGCCATTAATCAAAGTTAGAACAGAAGTAATGCTTCCATAGCATATGTCCAGAAGTACCAAAGCAGTGGATTTAGCTGGATTTTTGGGAAAGTGATCATCCCTTGTAGGATGTGGTATTATCATCTCCATATTTATGTGTGGTATTTGCTCTGAAATGGCTTAAGATGTTTTTTTTTTTCTTTTACACACAGAAACAGTCATTTCAACCAAACAGTTATCGTTATATAATATAATATAAGAACCAGTGATATTTTAGTATCATTGATGTACTATAGTTTTGGTTAATGTTTTGAATTAAATTGTATTTTTATATTTTA